CTCAGTCCTCAGGGATCACGCTGTCACCCTACTGTTTCCACTGTATTCATCACCTGTGGCCTGCCGCGTTCCCATCCCACAGTAGAGGTTTATGGCCCAGTAAATGGGTCAGCACACATTTTTCTTTCTTTCTTTTTTTAAAGATTTTTATTTATTTGATAGAGAACACAAGTAGGCAGAGAGGCAGGCAGAGAGAGAGGGCGAAGCAGAGAGCCTGATGCGGGGCTCGGTCCCAGGACCCTGGGATCATGACCTGAGGGGAAGGCAGAGGCTTTAACCTACTGAGCCACCCAGGCGCCCCAGCACACATTTTTCTAATGAAAGTTTCATTTTGTGATGAAAAGAGCATAGTGGTGACTAGTCTTCTGTGATTGGTATTGCCCTTATCATCACATCTTTGTTTTATCAATATCCCCTCTCTCTGGACTATTTTGTGAAGAACTAGGGCAGCTGGAAGGGCAGTCGGCCTCAGGACTGTGGTCTGTGGCTCCTGATGACTTGTGGTACAGAGGAGATGATGACAGTGAGCAGAGCAGCTGGGGCACAGCTGGGGACAGTAACCAGGGCCTACCGTGGAGCGAGAAGAACATTGAACCAGTGGCCAGAGCTCTACTCTCAGGAGAGTTGGGATGTGTGCAGACTGAGCCGGGGAGAGCAGGAATGTCGCCAAGGCTGGGCATCAGGTGGTCAGAGCAAAACTGAGGGCAGGCCTGGGCACCAGAGGTGGGCAAAAAACAAGTGGAAAACACGATTCTTTGGACATCCTGGAAGTATTTTTCCAGCACAGTGTGTCTAAAATCAGCCTCCTCTTCATCTGTGATCTCCCTTGTATCTGGTAATAAGGTATATCCCATTGGCCAGCCTTGAGATCTCGAGTTTTGTTGGCGTCCCATCATCTTCGCATTAGTCATTCACGGTGGCTCTGCCTCCACTGGGAAAGGCCTCAACGTTCCAACTGTGGCTCTTCCACACTAGGACCTGAGGTGAGGTCACTTAACCTCTGAAAGTTACCTGTGTGACCACAGTCTTGAGAATTAGAGGGAAGTGGAGAAACTCCTTGTGACCCCTCAGCCCACTGCCGGTGCATTCCTCTGCAGCTCTGGGCCCGCCTCCTGCTTCGCCTCCCCACCTCTTCTGGCTCGGCCTTCCCAACCACAGGACTCTCTGATCTAGGCTCATCCCAGCTCAGAAAGCTTCGTGGCATCTTCGTTAATTAACTATGAGCATGAAGCCCCAGGCCCCTGTTCTGCTCCTGAGGGCTCTCCACTCTCTGGCCTGTCTGCATTTCTTTCCATTTTTCTTTTCTTTCTCTCTTTCTTTCTCTCTTTCTTCCTTCCTTCCTTCCTTCCTTCCTTCCTTCTTTTTTTTTTTTAAAGATTTATTTGCTTATTTCAGAGAGACAGAGAGCTAGGGAGCATGAGTAGGGGAAGGGCCAGAGGGAGAGGGAGACAAGCAGACTTCCCTTGAGCAGGAAGTCTGATACAGGGCTTGATCCCCTGATCCCGAGATCCTGACCTGAGCTGAAACCAAGAGTCCCTGGCTCAACCAATGGAGCCACCCAGGTGTCCCGCCCACCCTACCCCCCTGCCTGCAATTCTGTTCTCATGCCCTTACACTTAACTTTGTGTGCTGTGTCCAGCCACATAGAGCTGCTTTGCCACATTCAGGACAGGCCCCTATGCAAGCGTCCCTACTCAGACTTGAAGGTGCTCTTTCCCACACTGCTGTGGTTCCAAGACTTTGCTGTCTCTCCAGCCGCTGTCCACGTGCTCCCATGTCTGCCGCACCTCCCTGGTTCCCTGGTCTCAGCCTCAGGCTTCAGTAATTCCTTTCTCTGAGATTCCATTCATCTTCCTCTGGACTCTTGGCATGCTTACTGCTGTATGTTTTGTGGTATTGGGGCACATGACTTACTAACCTCTCGTATTCTGAGTCCTGGTGAATTCTTCCCAAGCGCTTAGCACAGTGTCCATCTGTTGCAGTCGCAGTCGGTACTGTCGTAAGTCAGCGGCGCATGGGGATGGTAACACGCTGACGAAGGGCTGACAGATGCTCCGCTGAGTCTTAGCTCTGTTGGCAAACACGAGTTGACCATGTATGCCTGAGCTTTTTCTGGGCTCTCAGTTTGTTGCATTGGTCCATGTGTCCATTTTATGCTAGGGCTACGCTGTTTTGATGACTGTAAATTTGTAAAAAAAAAAAAAAAAAAAAATGAAATCAGGAAAAAGACAAAACAGAGTCGATGGGTGCTTCGGAGCTAAAAGGACAGGAAAGCAGCAGCGTTGCACTGGCCTCGATTGGCGGACAGCTTGAGTTCCCAGCCAACCATGAGCCTTTTTGTGGTTGCTGTTGAGCTGGGAAGAGGCAAGCCAGCTGACTTGAGCCGTTATATGCCAGTCACCCTCCTAGATGTTTTACTTGATTCACTCATTTGAATCCCTTTCTTAATTAACTCTTCATTGGCTTCTTGTTAACACTTAGAATAAAGTCCAAGCTGTATCACTAGCACTGCAGAATCCCTAAACATGTCCTGCCTTTCCTTAACAGGACGCATGTGCCCTGCCTCCTCACTCCACCCCTCCCTAAGGCTTTGCCTACGAATCCCAGGTCTGTCTTTTGAAACCTTAAAACCCACCCGTTAAGGTAGTTGTGAATTTGCTGTCTTTGTATGGTGCCTTTTTCAAAAACACATTCTTAGGTTGTTTCATCTGGTTTTATTTCTGTCCATAATCTTTGGACTGTCTTTTGCAGAGACAAGAGTATAGAAGGAATGAAATGCCAAGAAAACTGGACAGTGTGTATAAAAGCTCACTTTGCCAAATACGACATGCCAGTTGTGGGAGTGCTCGTGCCTTTAAGCTTTAGATGTGTTCTGAAAAGCTTTCTTCAAGTAGAGTTCTGCTAACCACACTCCCTTTAAGACGGGCTATGAAGTTTCTTGTATCTCTGAAGGGAAACAAGAAACTTGTAGTTCTAATAACCCCAGTGGAGAGGGAGATTGGTGGATAGCAGTAGGATGGACACTGACTCGTCACTATCTACCCTTCTGCCTTGGTGGTTCAGTTGGTTGGACGACTGCCTTCGGCTCAGGTCATGATCCTGGAGTCCTGGGATCGAGTCCCACATCAGGCTGCCAGCTCCATGGGGAGTCTGCTTCTCCCTCTGATCTTCTCCTTGCTCATGCTCTCTCTCACTGTCTCTCTCTCAAATAAATAAATAAAAATCTTTAAAAAAAATTTTTTTAACCACATGCTTGTATTTATTTTTATTAGCTTTATATATGTATGTACATAGAGATACATGTATATATGTATTAGTTTTACATACATATAATGCATGTATGTATACTCTGTGACATTGCTATTCATTCTCATTATTTTAATTTCTTTTCAAAAAGCAGTCAGACCATATGAGACAGTTTGGAAAAAAAGAGGAAGAAAAATAATTATTCCAAATCCTACAATAATTCTAAAACAACCTTGGTATTGCCACTGAAAAATGAATTCTGGGGCACCTGAGTGGCCCAGTTGGTCGAGCATCTGAGTCTTGATTGTGGCTCAGGTTATGATCTCAGTCTCCTGGGGTCAAGCCCAATGTTGGGCTCACTCCCCAGCACAGAGTCTGCTCTTCCCTAGCCCCTTCCTCCATCCCACCCTGCTATCCCTCTCGAATGAATGAATGAATGAATGAAACGTTTAGGGGGAAAAAGAGAAACAAATTCTGGGGTAGATGTTTTGTAGAACAAACCTGACACTCCCCTTGAACCTTTTCTGTAAATAAGTATACCAAATACAGATTTTATAGTAGGATATTCCTTTATTTACTGTTGTTAGTAAATGAATTTCCTCCATAATTTCATGGTTATTCATTTTCTCCTCCCCATTTTGACAAGAGTAAAACTCCAGAAAAAGACACCCCAGTCTCGTCTCAGGCCTCACCTATGCTCTCCCCACAACTGCCCCTCAGCCCCGCCACAGCTGGTACACCTGCCCACAGCGGGTACAAGTGCGTAGCATGCAGCAAGGGCAGTTAGGAAGAACAAAGGAAAGAGAAATGCAGGAGTAGAAGAGCCAGAATTTCCTAGTTGGTCGGATGTGGGGATAAGGAAGATGGTAAGCCCAAAGATGACCAGGTTCCAAGAATAAACAGGAGGCTAAGAGATTGGGTTTTGGAATTAAAAATCCCTGGATTCAGATCCCATTTCTGCAGATCGTTAGTGGTCTGATCTTCAGTAATGTTCTTCGCCCCCAAGCCTCAGTTTCCTCGTCTATAACATGGGGATAATTTAGTGCCGAGGTCACTAGGTCATTGGACGGCTTAAGAGAGAGACTCCACGTACAGCGCTTAGCGTAGTGCCTGAGTGTTTTCCACTTTTAATTATTAATGGTGATGGTATTTTTTTTTTTAAGAGAGAACATAAAAAGAGGAGCAGAGTTGGGAGATGGTGAGGGAAGGTGATTTCCGTTCAGACGATCTAAGTTTGAAGTACCTGAGGGACGTGTGTGTATTCTGCGGTATCGGGAAGGCTGAGCCTTGGGCCTGGGGTAGAAAGGTGCTCACCTGTGCTGCAGTGGGGGTTTGGATCCTGGCTCTGCTGCCGTGGTTTTGTACCATTCTCTGACTCTTGTGGTCTCAAAACTCTCATTGTCTGACCCTGTGGAAATGTTGGATCACCTGGAAAAGACTTGTGGTTGCTTATCAGAGCGCACTTGGCTAACTGGAGTCTGTGTGTGTTTCCCACCTTGTTGGGCGTCAGGACTGCTGTGTGTGTCCGGATGGGTTGCTCACCTGCTCTAGGGTTTCCGCCCCGAGGCGGCAGGAGGTGAAATCTGCTGCCCTTCCTGGCTGCCAGGATGTCCTCAGGCACCCTGGGGGTGGTGGTGGGGGTAGGGGTCGTAGGGTTGGATAGGGGACCCTCTGCTGATGTTAAATTCCATGTGGTCAGTTTAAGTTCTTACGATAGGGACTATTTCCTGGGGTGCTTATTTCTCTCCCTGCAGGTCATCAACGCTGTGGTGCTGCTGGTTCTGCTGAGCGCCCTGGTGGACCCGGACCAGTACCACTTCTCAAGTTCTGAGCTGGGAGGCGACTTTGAGTTCATGGATGATGCCAGTAAGTACATCAGATAGCTGCTGTCGTGGCTCTTCGGGTATTTTTCAAGGGCGGGGAATGCTGCCGCCAGGTCTTCCTGTTAAATTACAAATACTGATTCGTGGGCCCATTTGAACTGATACCGCCCTTTCTTTCCGTCGTTACAAATCAGATCAACAGATACATGCTGCTTGTGCTCTGCTGCTGTTCTAAGTGCAGGAGTCTAGTAGATGTCTCTTCTTTTCCTTTTTTTCTTTAAATTAAAAATTTTTAAAATATTTTAATAAACATATAATACATTATTAGCCCCAGGGGTACAGGTCTGTGAATCGCCAGGTTTACACACTTCACAGCACTCACTATAGCACATACCCTCCCCAGTGTCCATAACCCCACCCCCCTTTCCTGACAACCCTCCCCACTTCCTTTTTTTCCCCCCACCTTACATTAACTTTCTTTGTTTAAAGAAAGTTAATTTTTTAAATTACTGCTTTGTTGTTTTTTACCCTGGGCCTTTTTAGCCTTTAAAAAATTTTAATTTTTTAAAAAATTTTATTTATTTATTTGATAGAGATCACAAGTAGGCAGAGAGGCAGGCAGAGGAGAGGAGGAAGCAGGCTCCCTGCTGCGTAGAGAGCCCGATTTGGGGCTCGATCCCAGGACTCAGGGGATCATGACCTGAGCTGAAGGCAGAGGCTTCAACCCACTGAGCCACCCAGGGTTCCCCATAGCCTTTTTTTTTAAATAAGATTTTATTTGTCAGAGACAAAGTGAGAAAGGGAACACAAGCAGGGGGAGTGGGAGAGGGTCCCAGGACCCTGGGATCATGACCTGAACCGAAGGCAGGTGCTTAATGACGGAGCCACCCAGGTGCCCCCACTTTTTGGCCTTTTTAAGAGGATGTGGAGTAAATGGCAGGAAGCAGGGTCATAAAGATCATGCATATCTATCTCATTGGTTCTTCTCTTATGTTTCTGTATTTACCTTTCTTCTAGGAGATGATCATTCTCTGTTCCAGAAGCTCTGTTGCTCATTATTTGGTGGACTTGGGCCTTTTTCTAATAAGTAGAAACATACACAGGAATGTGGATGTGTGATAGACCAGAAGGAGGCTGGGCCCCCCCAGCTTTAAGGTCATTGACACCTGAACATTTTATAATTATAGTCCTGCTGTGTCCACACTGCCTGCGATGGCCAGTGTTGTGCATAATCCCAAACAAAAGATCATGCAAATGTAATTGTCATTGGCTTTGGAGAACTATAAATGCATTTTAAGAAAAATTTGGGGCAAAATGAGTAAGGTGGGGAGACAGTGACTCAAGGTACAGTTTTGGGATAGACTGGCAACATTCAGAAGACTGTGAGGCTTGTGAGTTCTGTTCCCAGGGTGAGAACATCGCTGTTGGGTGGCTTTTAGTAATTTCAGCGGTTATGCATCGATGTGTGTTTTATGCAGAGCCCTTTCATTGCTGAGAGAGGAGGATGCATTTAGGAGACTGGTGCGTGAGTATAGAGGTCTGGAGACTAGTTCGGGGGTGTTTCCCTGTGATCCAGGCTGCACTGAGGATGGGGAAGAAGGTGGGTTTTGGAAGTAGGATTGATAGACCTTGTTAGTGTGGGTGAGGGAGGGAGGGAGGAATCAGACGATCCCTGCTTTCCAGCTTGAATAAAAGACTGATCTCTAGTGGGGAGAGAGTCTGGGTTCGGGAGATGAGTACTTATCTAGGGAGGGAACTTGGCTTCGCTTTGAGTAACTCAGCGAGGTGGTTAGGAATCTGTGCTCTGAAGCAGAAGACCTTAGTTTGAATCTTGACTGTGCCATATATTAAATGTGTTAACATGGGGCTAGTCAGTTACCTTTGTGTGCCTTCCATTCCCCCACTGAGAGATAGGGGTGATCATAGTATCTGCCTCGTGGGGTTGTGATTAAATCAGTACATGAAAAAAAAAACACATAGAATGGGGTCTGGCCCATAATAAATGCCAGTATATTTTGCTCTTTTACTAACCATTCTTACTTAGGTATGTTGGAGCTAAAACACGAGCTGCGGAGAGATTAAAAAGTTGGTTGGGTATGTGACTCTGTAACCCAGAACGCAGACGTCTGGGCTTATGTAAATTTGAGGACATCAGCCTAGAAATGGTATTTATGTTAAGGACATAGTGAAGGGGAAAAAGAAAAAGGGGTACCAGATTGAGCCCTGGAGGAGTCCCATCAGTAGAGGTCAGAACAGGAGCCTGAGAGCAAACTGGTAATGAAATAAGCAGAAAACCAGGAGATGCTTTTCTTTTCTCTATTTTTTTTTCCTTCTCTTCTTTTTTCTTCTCTTTCCTCCTCTCCTCTTTTCTTTTTTCTTCTCTTTTTTTTTGGTTTCATTGAAGATTTCTTTTAGATTTTAGAAAGAGGGAAAAGAGAGAGCATGAATTGGGGGAGGGGGAGAGCGCATAGGGAAAGGAACAAGCAGACTCTGTGCTGAGCATGGAGCCCGATGTGGGGCTCTGTCTCCTGGCCCTGAGATTATGACCTGAGCCAAAACCAAGCGTTGGATGCCCAGCCTGCTGAGCCACCCAGGCACCCCCAGGAGACGCTTTCTGTCACCTTCTACCACCATAGCTTTGTGATCCGTACTAAATAGTCAGGATATCATATTCTCCTGGGGTGTGGGACCTTGTCAGACTGAGACGGGACTTCTGCTATAACATTGCTCCTTCTCATGATTTTGAATAACCCTGTTACTCTTAACGGATTCTTCCAAAAAGGATAATGAATTCCATTAATATTAAAATTAATATCTCTGCCTTCCTTCCCCTGAGCTAAAGGACTATGTAAGCTATAGACATAATGTTTGGTTGACGTTTAAAAACAAATGACCGTTTCGCTCTTTCCAGTTAGCAGGATTCCATTTCTAAAGTAATTGAGGTTAGAAAAAGAAGTTTTAAATGATACAGCTATAGTGTTCTCTGAATCATATACTAATACTATATGCCTTGATCTAATTGCCAGAGATTAAGCTGGGTAATGAGTCTCTGACAGTATAGGCTTAATTTAGCTGACTTAAATGACTTGCTGGTACTTAAGAGTTTAAAATAGTAGTTGTTCTCTAATGTCCTGGATATTAATTCCAGTGCATTGGAGGTTTCTCTCATACGTCATATATTTAAAAGAAATGAATGAAGAGTTTGTAATTATTGTTAGGACTCTTATCAGTCATTTAAGTTACATGTTATAAAAAGGTACAGAAGAGTGGACAGTGACTTGAGTGAGTTCTTTTTTTTTTTTTTTAAACTTTGCTTACATTCCTTTTCATATGGTTAGGTTGCCTTTTTTTTTTTTTTTTTAAACAGGACATTTTATTTTTTTTTTCTTTCTTTCTTATTTATTTTTTTTTTTTTTTTTAAAGATTTTATTTATATAACAGAGACACAGCAAGAGTGGGAACACCAGCAGGGGGAGTGAGAGAGAGAGAAGCAGGCTTCCCATGGAGCAGGAAGCCCAACTCGGGGCTCGATCCCAGGACCCTGGGATCATGCATGACCTGAGCCAAAGACAGACGCTCAGTGACTGAGCCACGTAGGCGCCCCTGGATCTCCTTTTTAAAAGAGATCAATATTTGGGACGCCTGGGTGGCTCAGTTGGTTAAGCGGCTGCCTTCGGCTCAGGTCATGATCCCAGCATCCTGGGATCGAGTCCCATATCAGGCTCCTTGCTCGGCAGGGAGCCTGCTTCTCCCTCTGCCTCTAGCCTGCCACTCTGTCTGCCTGTGCTTGCGCTCTGTCTCTCTCTTTCTAACAAATAAATAAAATCTTTAAAAAAAAAAAAAAAGATCAATATTTGAGAGAGAGAGAGCAGGAGCAGGGGAAGAGGGAGAAGGAGAAGCAGACTCCTTCCTGAGACTCCCTGGGATCATGACCTGAGCCAAAGACTAATGCTTGACTGACTGAGCCACCCAGGTGCCGCAGCCCC